ACAATCAAACATAGAAAATGTGACACGGGTGAAGTGATTCGTAAGAAGCAGTCACATTGGTCGGAACAAAAAGAAGTACTATTAGTGGGTGACACACAAAAGATAGTTGTAGATTGTCCATACTGTGAAGACGTAAAGCACGCAATAAATTTTTTATCACTTATGTTCAATGCATAAACTGTATAGCACAAGTTAGCACAACAAATCAATCATCGACATGATATATTCAACAATATATATCCGGAAGTAGAGCAGATACGTGAACGACTGTCCTTGCTATGCCAAGAGAAAGTAATAGTGCGTTGCAACGATCGTCAGATTCACATTGTGTGCTGAACGCAATCAAGTTTTTTTTAGTGTTTATTTATATATTTTTTTGTTTATTATTTAGTTTCCGGTTACGCTGCATATATGAATTTTGAAAAATCACAAACATTTGTAATGTACATGCTCAAAGTTAGCATATACGAGTGGGTGCATCAAACATAGTTGATTTTTTTTTTTTTTTTTCACTTAGTGCACTGTACATCTACAAACTACCATTTTTTTATTTCAAGAATACTGATAACTGTCGGATTATTAATTTTCAACAGCATTACGTAATCGATCTTGCAGAGTTATATTGCTCAACATTATTACAGGAAACAAACAAATTAAGGTGTACCGTATACAACAATGGTGAGCGTCACTCCCGTTGCAGTGTCTGCAACGACAACGATCACCATAACCAATGGACCATTTACATACGAATACGAGTCAATAGTGAGATGTGAACTTCGTGGATGTAAATTGTTTATAGTTGTCGTAAGGTTCATAGAGATCGACGTGCACGACGTGCAAATTTATGGAAGACAAGGAAAAATAAGAGGAGTGCAAGATTATGTGGAATGTCATGAAACAACTTTGATGCGTGAAGACACAAGACTTGAAGGTTGGTCTGCTTTCATAACCGAGTTTGAAAACATGCATATTCCACCTATCCTGATGTGCATGTTAGACGGCTCAAACGATGCGATAATGCGGATTATCATCATGAATGTAATAAATAGGACCCGTCGGTAATGGGAGAGTAGGGAAATGTGAGAGTATGAGTGGGGATATACATTTAAAGATGATAAGTTGTTAAGTGGTGGACGTGGAGCAATGCTGACAGATATAGCGCATCGTATAGCAATGTGGATAAATGTTCAGTTGTTTAATTGTTTGCGGTGTATTTACTATGATAGACTCGTAGAAATATGACATGATTCTCAATTTCGTATGAAAGGCAAAAAAAAAAAAAAAAAAAAAAACAAAAGCGCATATTTACATTTTGAAAAATGATCTGCATTGAATGTTTTCAAGTATTTGGGGGGTTTCTTGTATACAGTGGGAAAAAATCCATATAGAGAAAATGTATCGCATTGACCATCTTATTATATGCACAAAAGGATATTGGTTTCATAATATATTACCAAAACTTTTTATGAATCAAAAGGAAAATAAAACCAAAATGTTTATTTGGTACCTTTTCCCACGCATTTCCCAAGTGAATGTTGAGCATGTTCATTATATTATTCGGTTCTGTTAAATAAATGAAAAAAAAAACATAAAAACTCTTTAAATTTTAAAGTATGTGTACTTGAAAAAATAAGACTATACGAAAAAATAGAGTTCCCAAACGAATATTGAGCATTTTAGGCCATATTATTCAATAATTCAACCCATGGTATCCTATATGATGCAGTTGTAAAATTGCTTGAAAATGGAAAACAAAAATTACAAAAAATGGAGTTTCAATTTCCTTCAAAAAATAAAAAATGTCCGTTTTGACGAAATTGCTGTTGCAACCTCACCACACTCCAATCACTCTCTCTCTCTCTCTCTCTCTCTCTCTCTCTCTCTCTCTCTCTCTCTCTCTCTCTCTCTCTCTCTCTTTTCCCGAACGGAACAACAGGGCTTTCTGTTGCTGTTTCTGATAAATGGCAACAGTTATATGAAATGTCAACATTTATCTAAAACATCAACAGAAAGACATGTTGTTCTTCCATTGGCGTCAAAGCTAAACCCAACTTTCCCAACCCCGCCCCTCACCCACTCACTCCCCCACCCCCCCCCCCCCCCCCCCCCCCCMCCCCACAAACAGCCGAACCTGAATTGACATTTTTTTTCTTCACTAACTGATTTATCGACGACACAATACACGTGCAAAAAAAAAAACAAAAAAACATCGACGAATGGCAAAACCAACAAGCTATGAATCCCCCGGACCACCGGTCGTCGCGGTCACGGTCGGCGGTCATGACCGGGAGGCCCTGGTCGTGACTGCACGGTCCGCGGTCATGAAAAAATAAAAATAAAAAAAATGACAAATCTGAAAAAGATATATGTTATGCCAAACAATAGGCTGAACAACTTTTGCCCAGGCTCATATGAAAATTTCTTACCAAATTTGAGATAAAAAACAAACAAATTCCTTTGTTTTTCTTACTAAAAGTATAGAGTTACTATAAACTACAAAACTTTTGTGTGAGGGATTTCTGCTTTTTATTTATTAAAAAGAAGAAGTCAGAATATAAAAGTTGATAAAACTAAGAATATAAGGTTATCAAGCGCACAAAATCAGACAATGTTTTTTTTTGTCTATTTTTTTTTCTTTTTAATATTCTAAATTTACAGCTACACCCGACCGCTTGGGCTGACTCACACAGTCGCCATCTCGATCTCGGGCCGAGATGACCGCGGTGGATTCATAGACCACAAGTCCTTGCCAAAAAAAGAGGGGGGAAAATCACCTTCAATTTTTTTTTTTTTTTTACTTTTTTTCCAGGTTTTCATATATATTTTTTGGAATCCTCAATAAGGTTGGTTGTAATTTATTTGTTTTGGGGAAGGCAACTTTTTCAAAAACCTACAACCTGATTTTTTTATTTTTTTTTATTTTTTTTCGTATTATAAACCCTTAAAACAAAATACCTATGTTACCAACTGTCCGATGGGGAGACGTCTCCCCCGGACGTCTCCGGGAGACGGTCGGGGAGGAGTTGTCCGAGATTCCGAACAACGGTTTTTTTGCCACACAAAAAAAAAAAAAGTGGCGGGGGTCTGCACATTGCCAGGGGACCCCCCCAAAACAATTTGAGAGCATTCTGAGCAAAAAGTGCCAAAAACCAAAAAAAAAATACAAATAGGGTTTGAGGTGTGTGTGGGGGGGGGGAGGCAATGTGGTTGGGGGGTTTCAATGGGGGGAACACTGCTGCGGTCATCAACTTCAGCACGTGCAGCAACTGCTGCTGCTTTGTCTCATGCAGCGGTTGCAGTAGGTGCAGCAATTGCTGCATGTACACCATCCGCTGCTAGTCCCCTCCACTTCGAGGTAAGTGACAGTCGGACTGAGTTACAGAGCGACTGACCGACTAACTGAGTGACTTGCTGACTGATTGCATACCTGAGTAAGTTATTGTGTGACTGACTAATTGACAGACCAACTCAATGGCACACAAACACACACACCCACACACACGAACTACAACAATATTCGCATTTGCGGAAGAAGGTTGCATATTGCTGTTGCAATTTCAATTTTCAAGCACGACAAACAAATGAGAGACAAACGCAACCAATGCACTACCAATGCAACAACATATAGAGTTCTACCCTTAACTTCAACAATGAAATGCAACTCTCTCTCTCTCTCTCTCTCTCTCTCTCTCTCTCTCTCTCTGTGCTGCCATGACAACAACCGATGACCCACAACCACTCATGCAAACGCACATTGGATCCACCTCACTTCGAACACGTTGCACCCCCCACCCCACCACCCCCGATAGGCCCCTAGGCAACCCCCAACCTCCCCCCGACCTCCCCCC